TTCTCTTGCCCCCATGCAGCAGCCACTTGGGAGCTGATGGAGCTTTCGCCTATCATTCCCCTCGAGGAAGGCCTTTTCTCATAATGGTTCTTCAACCTTCGGGAAGCGCTGCCAGTAGAGGCTATCAAAAGAAGTGTCTGCTGCTTATGGAATATCTGGATTGCTCGCAATGGTTGCATTTTCGAGGATAAGGTCATTTCCCCGACCTCTTCTGCAGTGCTAGCTGATAGAGACTTACATTCCATAGAGGAAGCGCGAAGCTCCACCTCTGCTCTATCTGCTACGAGACCAGCAGTACTGCAATCTCAGCCTAGGGGATCCCGTTCTCATCCTTCACCACCGCCAGGTCCTTTCCAAAGGATAATTCACTGTGATGGCTCATTTTGTGCAGATTCACAGGAGGCGGCTTATGGGATTACGATTTCTAATGCCCATGGTCAAGTTTTGGACGGCAAGGCTGAGAAAGTCTTTTGTTCCTGTCCTATTCAAGCGGAAGCTCTTGCAATTCTTAATGCAGTCCTGTGTGCAGTTCGAGATGCTTGCTCAACTTGCATCAGATCTGATTGCCAGATTCTGACAAGTGCCTTGAAGCTGGCTCCTGACCTTTGGCCTTGGCAATGTCGACCGATCTTGGGACTTATCATTACACTCCTCCATTCGGCTTCATGGATCTCTATTGAGTTTGTTCCACGTCGTCTCAATGGACTTGCTGATTGGGTGGCACGTAATGAACGGATGGGTTCTCTCCCACTTGATTGGTTGATTATTGCCGATCTTATTTCTCCTCTGCTGTAAGAATGTAACTGGTTCCCCTTGGTGGGTTATGGAATAAAAAGCACTCTTCTCATTGTCAAAAAAAAAAAGGGTAACGCAGGCGCAACCGATGTGCCCCTTCAACTATGGATGGGGATTGCAACATGAATTATTTATTTTTCTTCTGAATGGTTCTTTTTCCTGACCTTGTTGTGTAGAGGAGTCCTGTTTAACTTTTGTTTTGTTTTGCAATAGCACTGGTAGCATGATAGTGCATATTCATTATACTACCAAAAATAGTTCAAGTTTCGTATTCATATCCACAAGAATCGGTTAGTAAATTAAATTCATGCTCATATCGATCAGATTTAATGTATCGATTATTATCCATGAGTAATAATTAATTAATTTACTCATTAAAAGAACAAGTAACAATTTCACTATTTCTTATAGTCACATCCAAGAGGTGGCATTTTGATTTAGTAGAAATTTGGAGGGCTGTTTGGGAAAGACTTTTTTTTTTTTTGCTAGCTTCTTTGTTTTTCAATCGTTACTTATTCCCACAATATTAAAACAATGTCACTATTCCTTATAGTCACATCCAAGAGTGGGGCATTTCCGTGATTTAGTGGAAATTTTGAGGGCTTTTTGGGAAAGCTTACTTTTTTCTGTTTGTTTCTTTTTTCCCAATTTTGTTTTGTTACTTATTCCCGCAATATAAAAAACAATCGACCTAGTCAAAGTGCGTTAAACCTGGTGTTGACGAGTTTTATAAGTCGGGATCGAGTTTTATTTGTATTGAAAAGCTTTGGATCGGAAGGATTTTATCTGCTTAAGTGTTTTTTTAATTTCTCCTTTTCCTTTTGGTGTGACACTTAATGTTGACGAGGTTTGGCTTTTGGTTCGGGAGCCAGCTTATACGCGTTAATGATTTTTATTTCTCTTTTTCGTTTTGGTTCAGAATGACAATTTCACCCAAACCCATGGGCATCCAACCAAATTCGGGCGGATCAAAGTGAGTTGAACCCGGTGTTGACGAGTTTGGCTAAGGAGTGAGTTTTATCTGCTTTAGTGTTTTAATTTCTATTTTTTCTTTTGGTTAAAAATGACAATTGAACTCAAACCCATGGGTGTCCAGCCAAATTCGACCCTATCAAAGAGGGTTGAACTAGGTGTTAACGAGTTTTGCGTCAGGATCGATTTTACACGTGTTGACGAGTTTTTGGTTGGGAGAGATTTTTATCCGCTTTTGTAATTAGCGGGTTGGGTCAAGCATGAATTTGTTAGCCACTTTCCTTCCGACTCACACCAAATAAATTAAACAATTGACTCTGTCAAAGCGAGATGGCCCTGGTGTTGATGAGTTTTTGTTCGAAACCCAATTTAATCAATGTTTATAATTGGCGAGTTAGATCGGGTGTGAATTTCGTTAAAACTCAACCCGCTTTCTATCTAACGCACACCCAAAAAATAAACATTGTCATTTTATGGAGATATATTTCTAATAATATTCTTAGAATATGTGGACATTATAAATAGTTATGATAATATATAATTCAAATAAGCACAACATAATTTGACTCGGTCGAAATGAGTTGAATATGGTGTTGACGAATTTTAGATCGGGAGCGAGGTTTACCCCATTTTTGTGATTGGCGGGTTGAGTCGGGTGTGGATTTTGATGAAACTTGGCCGACTTTCCATCCGACCTGCACCCAGAAAACAAAACAATTTCAAGTTTGCTACATAACTTACTTGCACCTTTTTAAAACTAATGGGTATCCAATCAAATTCAACCAGATCAAAGCGAATTGAACCCGCTGTTGACAAGTTTTGGGTCAAGAGAGAGTTTTATCGGATTTTGTAATAAGCGGGTTGGGATGGGTGTTAATTTGTTAAATACTCGGTCCACTTTCCATCCGACCGACACCCAAAAGCAAAAGAATCGACCCGGTCAAAGCGGGTGTGCTGACAAGTTTTGACTCAAGACCTAGTTGTACCCGTGTTGACAAGTTTTACACCGAGATCGAGTTTTATCCACTTATGTAATTAGCAGGTTGGGGCGGGTGTGAATTTGTTAAAAACTCATTCCCCGTTCTATTTGACCCACACCGAAAAAATAAAACAATAGACCCAGTCAAAATTGGGTTCAATGTGGTGTTGCCGAACTTTGGATCGGGAGCGAGTTTTACCCGCTTTTGTAATGGGTATTGGATCAAGTGTGGGTTTTGTTACATTTCGGTCGCCTTTCATAAGACCTGCACACTAAAATACAAAAAAAAATATCGAACCTACTCTCTTTTGCTTCCTGAAAACCCATTTCTACTGTTAGATTATATAGTCGATAGTGTTTAAAACTATTATCTAATAAATCGATACTGTCACTTTTCAAAACTTTAATCTACACAATAAATAAAAGGCAAATGAGAAAACTTGAAGTCACATTTCAAATTTCCTGCATCCAGAGTGAAAGTAGGAAGGACATTTTGGTCTTCACAATTACTTTTTTTTTATTCATTAAAAAGAATCTTACTAGGATTCGAACCATGACCATTTTAAAGAAAAACAAAGATCATAACCAGTCACTCTAAGTACATTTGTTGTATCTTTTTAAATTAAAAACATATAATTGCAGAGAGGAAAAAACTCTTCCCCCATTTAAAATTCCATGCTCCAGGAGCGTTTGTAGGAAGAGTAGAATAGGGAGTGTCAATTTTTTTCTTTTTCCTCTGTGGAACGGGCCAACTTACCGTACACATGCGGATTTAAACGGGTCCAGGAGTGTCAATTTTTTTCTTTAAATCCTTTTATTTCTCCATGGTGGTAAAATATATATATGAAAAGGCAAAAACAATAATCCTTTTTATTGCTAAAAAGAAAAAAAATTAACAATAAACTAATGCATGGATTCTAATGGGCTAACCGCTAATCATAAAATAAAAGAGTTGAACGGGTCTGACCTACATGGGATTTGCCCATCAAGTAAAACAAATGAACATCATGGGTTTGCCATTCTAAAACAAGATATTTTCTCTAGCATAATATATACTATGCTATTATTTTATATCTTAGTGGCTAAAATATAATGTATTTTAAAGTTATTCAATGGTTCAACTTCGACCAACTCAATTAGTCCAATTTTATCATTTCAAATATATATTATGTAATTATTTGACATCATAATGATTAAATTATAGTGTATGTTATAGGAAATCGTTTGGTATTTGTTAGTAAAAAACTAAACAGAAAGATCTATTTGGTTATTTTAAACATTAAAACGATCCTAAACATTTTCAGTTTCCTTTCGAAATTCTATAGTTTTATTCCCGAATCAGTGATGTGCAAATGGTGAATTGCAGTCATCTCTTTTCTTTCATTATTTATTTTCAAATATAAAGTTTAAAAGTAAATAATAATTAGAGTTTGGCATGGGTCGGTCAAACAAGCTGAATTTCAAGTTTTGGCCCATTTTGATCAAGTCTAATTTATAATCACATGGTTCTCTGATACCCTATAAAAATCTCAATCCAAGTTTGGCAGGTGAGTCCGTGTTTACCACCATTTTCTAGGGATACAGGAACGGTGGTTCCTATCCCAAATCGTGCTGTTCATTCTTGATTTTTTTAGATTTTATCATGGCTTGGCAAAAAATCAGAAAGCACAATGATGAGAAGATGAAAGTTTTATAAAGCAAATTAATCGGCCAATTGGCCGAGTAAAAGCTAGCAACGATTATGAGATGCTCATTTCCCAAAAATCGGCGGGATATGCGATTTTTTATTCGATTTTCTGGAATTCGGTTTCTATAAAACTTACTCCACCTCATCATATTACCAGAAACAATATTGTTTCACAAGGTAACATGTACTTGATTTTGGTTCATAAGGCTGATTTTTGATTCGTTGCATCATTCATGTCTCTTTTCTACTAAAATTCACTATTTTTATCACGTGTTTCCCAAAAAAAAAAAAAAACTATACAACAATAAGCTATACACCCCATTACATTATCAAATTTCATACCTCATCTTCGTCCGGCCAAATGGCCGGGGGCCACGCTAGTTGTCTATTTATGATACAAAGTTACTAAATTGACGACCCTCGTGCAGGCGGGCTTCCGTGTTAGCTTCTCCTTAAAATTCCAACCAACATTTTAACATTCACACATATACTGACATTACGATTAGTGGAAAAGCACGACAATAAATCATCAGAATTGAAAAAGAAAATTCATTAAAAATAAAAAAATCTCATAAAAACATTATATATATATAATAAATATCACATATTTTGAGAAGAATAATGATCATTTCTAGACAAAATACATGTATAAATATATATTCATGTGTATAATCGGACTAGTTCGGACAAGATAATGTGAAAACCATGCCCATCCAATATTTACGATATTCGAATTCGAATTTTATTCATAGCCACTAGAAATTCTTCACCTTCATATTTTACCTTACCCGATTAGCTCGGATTAGATTCATATCACAACTTTTCACACTCCACAAAATGCACGCAAAGCAGAAGGTGCTTCTTGACCAGCATTATGGTAGTCAAACGAAATAAATTCCTCGTAGTAAAAGGGCTTGAACAGCAAGGGGTGTTCTTCGTTAACCATTTCTTCTGGGACTTCTATAACGTATCCATCTTTTGGGTATGAGAATAAAGCCAACGAATATCTGGCCTCATTTCCGGACATCATAACTCGATGATACGTTGCACCAAGTCGACCATTCAACCACCCCTGCAAAAACCATGAGAATCTATAAATTTATCGAGGCAAAACTACTTATGTAGTTTATCGTCTGCAAATCGGAAAGCAACAAAGAAGTACTTACAGTAAGAGATTCAGAAGTCATAACGATGAAAGAGTTTGGAGTAGAGGGTTTGAACTTAATCCAACTGCCATTTTTGGTTTGCAGTTCCAGTCCGTCAACTTGATTCTGATGCAATATGGTCATCAAACTCTTGTCTGTGTGTGGGGAAAGACCTAGTTCGGTATCAGGGGTGTTCGGCCTGTTGTATTTCGAGAACCGCAGTAGATAATTTGTGGAGTTGAGGTGTTCATCGATGTATTTCTCAAGCCCAAAGCTTTCAGCAATCATCTTCCTTACTGCTTTCTCCAGCTCTGAAAGTTTCTCCGCGTAGGAATTGATTGTTTTGCTGTAAAAAAAGAAATTGATGATGACATGACAACCTCCCTCCTCTTACGTATAGCTAATCAGTTTGGAACTAGGGATGACGATAGGCAGGTTCAGGATGGATATCTCGATACTCATACTCGTCTTGTGGCAGATTAGGTCCACGCTGAATAATTTGGTATAGGTCAATGGTCGACTCATATGAATATGTAATTAGAAGGAAAGCATTAAATATATTCATTTTTTCATTAAAAACAAGAAACAAACTATACTATGATAAACGTAGACCGTAGTTAAATTATTTGAGGAATTAAGATTTTAACCTACTTACAACTTCGTTATAGCTAAAAATATAAGGTATAAAATTAAAATTCCAAACAATTGGAGTAAAATTACATGTAATTTAGACAAAAAACGAATCGAAAATGTAATAAGTTAGCATAGATCAGATTGATGAGAGTACGTATACCTGCCCCGCCTACCAGTATTGCCCCAAAACATATTAAACATATCGAGTAACTGGAAATTGCCATCCCCTGTTTGGAACCAAACGAACGATGATAGAAATAGTAATTTAATTACCTGAAGCTTGGGTTCCCTCGAGGCCACATCGTGTTGGTAAAAGCTTCAACCTTTTCACCCACAGTGACTTCATCTATCCCCAAGCTTTCGTACAGCGGTCAGCGGGACTTGAGCATGCTGCCCTACGTAACCGTGGTAGCGTTTTTCGGACACATTCTGCAGTTTGGACTCCAGAGGCAGCTCGAAAATCTCTTCCGTCGATCGCAAAACAGCGGTAAGAAGTTCCGAAGAAATCTTGTCGAAGCAGGCCTCGAAGCAGCCGTACTCTTCCAGCGCCTCGCGGACTTGTGATTTCAGGGATTCCCACTCTGAACTGCCAGTTTTGGTTGATTCTGGCTTAGAGAAATCTAAGAGAGGGAGCTTGGAGGGACAAGATTGGGAACCCATGGTTGTAGTGTGTTAGCTATGCAAGTTGTTGTTCTGGTCCACCTTTCCCCATATGTGTGTGCATTTATAGCGGCAGCTGGTCGATCTATATTCGTTTTTTGTGGAATTATTGCATAGGAAAAATCATTAGACGTCGAAAACGGAGAGAATGGCAGAGAGATATTTAGGGTAATTGATAAAAATGGTTCTCTAGGTTTGAGCCAGCAACAAAATGGTCACAATTTTTTTTTCTGAATGATGAAATTTATTACTAAAAGGAAAAAAAGAGAAAGTACAACACAAAAAACGAACAACTTTACAAACATGAAGAAGTTTTTGAGAAAAAAAGGAAAATAAGTTTGGCAAAGCAATGCCAAAAGTCAAAGAGAAAAAAAAAACAAGAACTAGTGTGAAAACTTTCAAGACTAGTGACAAACAACCATAGACCAGGAAACCGGATCGTACCGGCCGGTTCAACCGGTTTAACCGGAAATTGGACCAAAAGCGGCACGGTGGGCTGATTGTGCTGATTTTACCGTGTCGGCCGGTTTTTTCGGTTTGACCGGTTGAACCGGTTGAACCGGCCGGTACGATCCGGTTTCCTGGTCTATGATTCAGCTTCATTCTCCGTATTCTCGTTCAATATGTGGAAAATAATTAAAAAAAAATATTATTTTGCTATTTTTCTATGTTGAAAATGGGTCACCGTGGTTGTATAATGCTTTATTTGGTTCTTTTTTTGATGGATTATATTTTTTATACTATCGCATTTCAATTCTCTATCAATAGTGAAAAACGGTATTTACCGGTACAAAATGGTTGAACCACGGTCGTACCACAAAATGCCATACCAGAAAGGAATCCGGTATGATGTCCGGTACGGTTTCCTTTACCATGCAAACAACTAGCAATAACAGAAAGAGAAACAAAAACAATGGGAATGCCTTGAACCTCAAGGCCCCAAAAAACATCTGCACATTGAGACAAAACCAAGAAACAAAGCAAAATAAAGGAACAACCATCAACCATCCACAATCCTTATCAATTGTTATAAGTGGGCGTCTGAAAGAATTTTAAATGCTCGAAGCCACCTCCCAACCATTTGGATGATCTTGTTACACAAGTGTATGGGGGATTTCAATATCTCTAAAAATCCTATTGTTTCTTTCGCTCTAGAGTGACAACACTCTGCATGTGGCAAGACTTTAATGCAATCTCTGAAATTCATATCACACCTCTCAAAGCATGGAGAAAAGACCGAACCTGAACGGGGAAAGGACCATGCATCTCTAAAGCTCTCGAGAAGAATTCTCAAATTATCCTTTGAGAATGGGCATGTAAACATAATATGTGAAATCGACTCCTCGTTGCTTTTACACAAGGAACGCCAATTACTAATGAGCATTCCTCTTCTTCTGAAGTTGTCAATGGTGACAATTTTGGATAATGAGTTCATCCAAAGAAAGCAGCAAATCTTCGAAGGGATGAAAGAAATCCATATGAGCTTGTAGGGGAAGGAGTTGTCACCTTCAAAAAAATCATCAATGAGGTGCTATGTGAAGGAATACACAGAAAAAATTGATAATAAAACAGTCATTTTGTCTTGTTTAACAATGTTTATATCCAAAATTACCAATTATCTTGTGGACACCGTGCAAAATTAATAAAAGAAATATAAGACACCCAATGCTATCAAAGGCTAGCTTATATAAAAGAAATATCCTTATACATGATCCATATCTCATCTTGCTTAATCATAATTCGTTACTTGCACATGTACTTGACCTGGCCACAATTGTCTCAACATAGGTAAATCAGGAGTCGTATAATTGCACTTCCTCGGGATAAACCCTCGTGCAAGTCATCATCCTTAAACATAATAATATCACTAGGGAATATATATTTTCCCACTTGTGCATCCAAATACAACAATCATGAAAAATCATGCTCAATCACCTTCTCGAACCATCATAAAGCATATTAACAATCAAGCCCACAATTTGCAACATATACACAATCATCAGCATATACAAGGTCCATATCGATTAGAGCAAGTCAATAATATCATACAACAATCCATGGTTCATCATATAGCAGAAAAGTTCATACACCCCTAATCATGCCATTCTAGTTCACCTAGGTCAATTATAAGCATCAATATAATTATCGTGATACGACAAACCCGGTATGCCGTGCTAATCCCTCACCAGTTCTGGTCGTTCAAACACCTGTTCTAGCCTCCCGAACTAAACTTCACTTTTCTCAAACAAACTCAGAATTAAAATCCGAGATTGTCCTAATATCCCCTGCATTATCCCCGTCAATATTAGTTCTAAGCTCCGGGTCAAATTCTCGATAAAAACACATTAAACCTTGGCCGGAGCTAAATTCAGCGATCCCGGCTCCGACCTAAATAATAGCCGAAATTCATGAATTAGAACTAGAGGATTGATTACCTTGCTGAAGGAAGCTCGTATATGAAATTTGGGCTCAATCCGGCTTCCGGATACTCCAAAACCCTAATTTGGCTTACCGGGAATTCAAGAAATTCCTGAACCAAAAACTCATTTTAAAGCTCTAAATCGATAAATCACGATGTATAGATGGATTAGGCATTACTTACGGGATTTTTGAATCACTTATGCTCAAGAATTGAGATCTGAGACTTTCCCCCTCGCTTCCCCTGAGCGCCCTCTACTCTCGGTCCAAAAAATGGAAAGATGACGATGATGGGAAATAATGGACGGGGGGAGAAGGGGAAATGTTAATATATATGCGGCCCGATCGCTTAATGTAATTATATATATTATATATATATAATTAATATGTATACTTATCTGATCGATCGATAATTCAATTTTCGTCAAAATGCTCGATTTTAAATCATGAAATTTTCTAGCGACAGTGATACGATTTTATCCGAAACGGGATGTTACAACGCCTTTCTCCTGCTCACTAGGTAAAAATATGACAAGATGAAATCATCGGCAAATGATGAAGATATAAGGATTGTAGGCAACCTTCACTAATAAGTGAAAGTGGTGACATATGAGAGGCTGGAGAAGACATGCTTCGATAACATAGTCACAAGGGTGAGGTGGGAGTTGCATGGATGACAAAGGACGCTGGTGTCAGGAATGACGAAAATAGAGGAGAAGTGGCAATGAATTAGGGATGAAAAATTTTGTAGAAGGAAAGACTAAACGGATAACCTGACAAAAAATGACATCATTTTTTATCTCGTGGCTAGCAAAACTGAACCAAACACGACCCAATATGGTAGGATATGCAACAGTATTGGTCTTGGTCCTTTGAATTTTATAAATGTCGAAGGAAAATGGGCCTGATTGATATATGGACCAGACAATTTGATCCTAAATGTTTTTACTATTTTATCGCGGTTCTCAAAGTTTGGTATGTTTTGGTTCGAATCGGACCATGGCACACCTCTACAATATTGTTCTAATACCCGGATATCAAAAATCTAAAAAGCATTTTAAAACTAGCTTCTAAGACTTTTACTAGGCTTCATGACTTTTTACTTGAGCTTTTGGTGGAATTTTCTTTTTTAACTAAAGTTGCAATATGTTGGGGTCCAAATCATAGAAGCGTGACTTTAAACTTTAAAGCTAACTTTTGACTACATTGAAAACACATAACCAACCTGTAAATTATCTCTTTTCCGGAACAAGCTAACTTGTCATTTTGAATGAAAAGATATGTAATAGCCATTTTATTTATATCATAATATTTATTTGTTCTTTTAGAAAATGTGTATTCAAAATGTTAATAAAATATTGGGTAATGACTATTTATTAGCCAAATCATTTTTCAGATTTTTTTATTAGCCAAACCTATTGAATTACTAATAATTAGTCAAATGTAAACATCCAGTTAGCAATTTTGTTAGTAATATTGACTTGGCAACATGATACTGACTTGGAAGAGACACACGGAGGTCAACATTCCAAAATTTTAGTATTTTAACTTGGAAGAGACACGCTGGAGTTATCGGCCAAGTTCGCGACCAAAGAATAGAAGATCGCGACCGCGAACTCGTGTGTCGCGGGCGTGATCTTTTTCTCAATCAGGATCAACGTTGCCCGCGAAAAGAGTGGGGAAAATCTCTATTCTTCAAGCGACGACTCCTCAGGGAGTGCGCGGTCAGGGTGCTCTACTTCCCGGTTGGGATCTATTGACTTATGATAACACCCGGGGTGGGTGTTTGATCATAATTGCACAGCCAAATAAAGGAACCAAGTTCCTTCGCTCAAGAAATCACAAAACAGAGTTTCAAACAAGCTCGGGTAAGCTTGTTTGAGACAAAGTTTGATGGAAACGAAGGAGGAATCTCACACCTGGGAGACTACACGATCGCTATAGTGATGCATTTGATGAAATTGAGTGTGTTTCTCAATCAACAGGCTAGGGTTTCAGCAAGTTTTGATCGCAACCAAAACCAAATCAAACTCACAACTCTCACGTTGGGAATTTTTGCGGTTTTTACTCAAATTCAACTCTGAATGTTACAATTCGTCAATGAGACCTTTTATAGGCTTAAAACACTACAAACAAACTAGAAAAAGGACTGAAATTAGCCTAATTAAACAAGGAAATTGAATTACAATTGTAATCCGAAATGAACTAGGAATCCTTATAGGACTCGAATTACTGGCAGCGCGAATTAGCTTCTTTGAGGCCCTCGAAAGTGGTCTTCCACGTTGAACCAAGCTTAGCCAATGCCTTCCCTGGGTTTGTGAAGTGTTCTTGTCTCAGTTCCAACTTGAATCAAGGCATGATCGTGTCCGAAACTCGAGATATGGAGTTCCAAAGATGGCACATTGAACACGTTAAATGCCTTGGTCAAAAACAGGCAGTTACTCGGTTATGAGCTAGTATCTTGGTGAGCATTGAAATCAATCTTCTGGACGCCCCTTGATCCACCAAGCACTTTTTGTTGAAGAAGGCTTTCCTAGCTTCAAAACAAGCTATTAAACACACATTTCCATGGAGCCACATCAACTTGGGATCACATTTCCATAGTGCAATGAACGAGCTTCTTGATCAATCCATGGAAGCTGAAATGGTTTGTAATTTGGGATCACATCAACTTATGCCCACGATCTTTTGGCAGACTTCACGGTTCATCTTCATGGTCAGGAACTTGAGCCCTTCAGC